GTCTCGCCGTTGGGGCAGAGCCCTGGGAGTCACAAGCTGGAGCTTCGGGCTCCACTGCTGACCCTGGGCAACCAGTTGGCCAAAGTGCTTCTGAAAATCAGGTGTCTCCATTCAAATGAGCCACTGATGCCCTGGCTTGATAATGATGGTCTTAATCGCTCCATGCCTCAGTTTCCCCCACTGTAAAATGGGGCTGAGGGGAGCCTCACATGGGAGCTGTGGGGATTCATCCATTAGGGCATGTAAAGAGATCTGGGTGTGGCAACCAGAACACTTTGGGCTTTCCCCCTCCCTACCAACCCTGAGCCTCAGCCTCCTTCCCCCATTCTCAGCCCTGGGCCTGCAGGGAGTAGAGTTAGAGGCACAGAGCGTAAGGCCTCCATCTCATGACCTGCCGTCTGTGCGGAACCGCGCCCAGCACCCAGACGTGCCCCGGGGTACCACTTCACAGCCCTCAGCTCCCTGCGCTGTTGGCTTTGCAGAACATGCGAAGGGGATGGGGGGCCTGGGTACGTAACGATGACCCGATGAGTTCAGGGCACCCTGTGGGCTATGAACACCGATTCCCCCTCTCCCTCCCCAATGTAAAGTGGTCCCTGGGGGCCAGGCTTGAAGGCTGCTGGTTGGGCAGCATGGGAAAACGGGCAGAACCAGTGAACCAGCCTCGAATTCCCCTTCCCCACTCGGAGAGGTGGCGGAAAGTCATGCTGGAACTTGCCCAGCGGGGAACTTCCTGCCCCCCAACCCCTCCCGCAAGTTCCCTTCTCCTCCCTCCCCTCTGGGGGTCAGCAGGAGGGGGCTGTTTCTGTGCTGGGGAAGTTGGACTGGAGAATTGAGAGCCGGGCCTAGCATCGAATGAGCATTCAGCCCATCAGGGAGCAATTAAGACCATCATTATCAAGCCAGGACATCAGTGAGGCCGGGTGAGTGAGTATGTAGCCTGGATTGCGGAGCTAGGCACACCTGTGCCAACCGCAGACCTCCCCAGCCCCGGTCTGGCTCCTTCCATCGCCTGAGACCCTGCCCTCAAATCCCCTCCCCCTGCCAGCTCCCCGGTACTGGGGATCCCCACGGGGCACCCTTCCCACGAGAGGGGCGGGCTGAGTCGTAGAAGCCCCTCCCCGGGGCACTGGCTGGGCTCGTCTCTCTGCTCCAGGCACTGCAGTCTGTAGGGGCCCAGCGCCCTCACTCGGTCGTCATGACGACGGGCATCCGGGGAGGCCAAATTTGAGTGAGTGGCGCTGCCACCCCGTGAGCCAGGTCACAGCTCCACGCACATTTGGTCTAGTCAGGGGCCTGGGGCCTAACCCGAACAGCGCTGCAAGCCCAGAGTTGGCAATGCCTGGAGCGAAGAGCCAAGCCAGCCCCTCAGCCCAGGGGCTGCCACTGTGGGGTGAATGCCAGGCTGGACCCGGCTGAAACCACCCCAGGGCCACCCCTCCCAGACTATTTACTGGGTCATGACAGGCCATAAGCATTTACAAATGGGTCCTGAGCCCACACTGGCCTAGAAGCCTGAGCAAAGAAGTGTCTGTAACGATTTCCAGCTCTGTCAAGTCGGGCACCCGAAATCAGCCGCTGCCTCTGACTTACCAACAGTCACACAGCGAGCAGCTGGGCTGAGAACCCACATCGCTAGCTCCCCGCCCCCCGTGGTGGCGTGGTGTTAACCACGCAGCGGTGCTATCCCCAGTCACTGCGCCTGTCAGGGAGCGGGCTGGGCAGGGGGCCAAGAGTTTCCTCTTTCTAAACAGCTTGGAAGAGCTAGATGCCGAGAATGGCTGTTTGCTCAGCCCTCCTTCACATAAAGGGGCTTGCCAAAGCACGTCCTGCCTGCGGAGCAGCCCTCCCTCCCCCCGGTCTACACTCAGCCAGGATGTGCCCGGCACGCGGACGCAACAGCAAGCAGGGCGTCGCATGCCCGATGCCAGCGTGAGCCCGGGCCCTCCCAAAACCGGCCTGTGCGGCAGCCAGAGGCGAGACCCTCGAAAAGTTGCACCAGTCTGGGCAGTGCCACAGTGCTGCCGTTTCCCCGGATCCCTGCCCCCTCTCAGCGAGAGGGCCCGGCCAAGGCAGGTGGAAACAAATGGCTCAAAAGCGGCATCGGTCCAGTGGCGGCTATGTCTCGCCCATGCGGCTCCGCCAGCCCCGCCTGGGGTTAGCACCCGGACACCTGTGCAAGGCGGCATCTCCCCGCGGCGGGGCGGGAGTCCAGCACAGGTGCCGGCAGGGGAGCGAGGCGGCCCCGTGGCACTACCCCCACAGAGCGCTGCGCGCACTGGGCCCGCCGGGCTCGCAGCGGCTTGGCGGCGGTATCCCTTTAAGAGACACCGGAGTGACTTCACCGCTTCTTGGCAACCGTCGCCTCACCTGTGCGCTGGTCCCGCCCCGGCACCATGGCCAGCCTCCCCGAGTTCAGTTAGCACCAGCTGGGCCCGTTTGGGCAGGGGAAGGGCCGTGCGTGGCTCCTGACACAGCAACGTAAGGGGGGAGCAGCCCTCTGGGCCTGGGGGCGGGGGTGTGGCAGGGACACGGAAACCTCTCCCAGCTGGGGGGGGGCAAAGGGACTTGGGGGGCTGAGAGGGGGCAGAGGGGCTCCGGGGAGTAGAAGGGGGGAGAAGCAATTCCCCCCGGGGGTGACAGAGGGGCACGCTGAGGGATCATTATCCCTGGTGCAGTGGGGGAGGGGGGCTCTTGCAGGCTTAGGGACTTGCCCTCCCCAGGCTTCAACCCAGAGCCCACCTGCCCTCTTCCCGTGGGGCCCTGCAGGGCTTCCCAGACGGCTGCGGGCCTCCCCCGTCCGTCTGAACAGTGGTCCCTGGCTAACGGGCCTTTGGGACTGAGCAAGGCTGGGGGCTTTTCCCCCCTCATGCCCTCCCGCCTCCTCTCAGGCACAGCCCTGTGTCCGGCACCAGCACCCCAGCTGAGTAAGCCCCTTACTAACCATTAGCTCTGCCATGCCCGCTCCTCCTGCCCTACCCGACCTGGGAGCTGCTCTGTGCCTGGGTCCCCCCACCCCTCACTGCCAGCACCTGGGAGTTGGGGCTGGGCTGCTCTGCTGCCAGCAGCATTCGGCTGTTGGGGGCAAAGGGTGTTGCATGCTGTGCCGCTCTGCAATCTCTTAGGTGCGCTGCTCCGTGGGCCTGCGGGAGGGGTTGGGCCCAGAGCCCTTCTGCCTTCATCGTCCTCCCCCACCCTTCTCCTCTGCCAGTTGTTTCCCCACTCCCGATTCCTCGGCCGTTCTCACTCCCTCCCCCTCCCTCAAGTGTGTGGGGCAGCGGAGGAGCTGGGGAGTCTGGGAGACCCACGTGGGGTACAGAGACTCCTCCTGGTGTTCCTTCCAGGCTCCCTCGGCCCCGTGCTCGCATTAAGTTCCCCTCTGCCTCCTGCGGAGGGTCACACTGGGGAGGGCTTCTGTGCTGATGGAGCAGAAATAGGGAGGTTAGACAGTCGCACTTACTGACAGAAAGCACAAAGGCTTCCTGGAAAGGCTGCCTTATCCTGTGAGGACAGAGGCCTCCTGGGTGTACCCCGTGTCACACATGCGGTGCACTAGGATCTGTGTGAAATAGTCACAGCCGTCTTCCCCTTGGTGAAAATGGCCTGTAACCCTGTCCCTGTGCTGAGGGAAGCCCTGCTTCCCCGGAGCGACAGTCGGACGTTTCCCTCTCTCCGCCATTGCCTTGGCTTCGTCTGTCAGCGTCAGCAATGGAACCTACCCTTGCCCAGAGATTGCCCTCTGCACCGAAATACAGGTCTTGGCATGTGGTGATGCAAATCCCCTTCCCTCCCTCCGGTTCACGGTCATCGTGTGACTAGTGACGGCCTCTGGCAGTGCAAACGTGGAATTTCTCGCACAACGCCACTCCGTGCACATACGCTGAGGCGGCCTGCTCGCCGTGCTCTGTAGCGCCCCCTCTGGCTTGTTTGCTGAACTGCACACTCACATGGCTGTGTCTGTCGCCCGTCAGAGACCGCCTGGCTCCCGCACCTCTGACTGCGTTCCCAAAAGGCTCAGAAGGGGGCTGGCACCCCCAACCCAGGGCAAATGCTGATCAGCACCATGCCCTGTCTGAAGGGCTCTGCAGCGATCCTCACTTGCTTTGTGCTCCAGGGCTGGAATGTTTGCTGGGAGCTGGGAGAGCCAGGAGCCCTGAGCAAACAGGCCTTTGGAGGGGGTGGAATTCCCCTCCCAGTGGCAGGATCTCTCGGCACCCCTGGCACCATGGCAAGAATGCGGCTCATTTCTCTGATGCGCCTTCCATGTCAGGAGACGCCCTCGCTCGCCAGCTCCCCCTCTCCTCCCTAGCCCGGCCTCTCTGGCTCAACCTTTGCGGTGCTCTTCTCTCGCCTTGCCCCTCCCATCAGGCAGGAAGATGTATGGCGGCAGGGGCCCGGGGGGCAAAGGGGGGGAGCTGCGGCTTAGGGCTTCCGGGGCAGGATGGGGCAGCTGCACGAAGCGTGTGGGGTTTCAGTGGCTTTTTGGTGGCTGAAAACGTCTGAGCCCAGCCAGCCAAACGTCCGGTTGCAGACACATTTGCAGAAAGCTTCCTGTGCGGAGGCCAAATCTGGGCTCTCCCCGGTGTGTGGTGGGCAGGAAAGGGCCTCACAAGTCAGACAGAGAGGCTGGGAGAGGCATAAGCATCGCCTCGGAGAGGACTTTCAGGGGTGCCATCTTCCCTGGGGGGCGGCCCCTTGCGACAGGGCTCTGAAGAGCTCAGCTGCCCGCTCTCAAAGGTGGCTGCCGTGGCACGTCAGCATGCCCAGCTCGGCTTGGGCTGGAGAGGAGGCCCCGGGGTGATGCTCTTGGAAGCATCTTGGTCGGAGGCACTCTCGGTGCTGGGCTCACGCCCTGCCCTGTCCTTACCCTGCTCCCTGCCCTGCCACTGCCACCGTTTGCCAGCCCACCCTGGAACCCCTCCTGGTGCCATGACGCTCCCCTCCACCCTACGCTCACGTTCCCGTGGCAACCACCCAGTACAGCTCAGCACTCTTGATAGGAAGCCGAAGCCACAACGCAGGAAGTGCAGCATCGGTTTCGCCAGCACCCACTCTGGCCCGAGCGGCAGACGCACGAGAAGCGGACGGAGCAGCCCCGGAGCAGCCCAGGGCTGGGGAGACGGCCCTGCTGAGCCTAGGAGGTAACTGCCCTCTCCCTCTTTCGAGGGGGGCAGGTGGTTGTGGGCTGCGGGAATGGGACTCACGGTGAGCTGCGTGGGGCTCTGTTGCGCCCCGACACCTCCACAGGGCTCGGCTCTGGCCCATCTCCGCGTCTGTGGGATTTCTCCCTGTGCGGTGGCAATGGAAACTCACTCAGGGCTGGTACTGCCAGGAAGGCTCTGATGCATGAAGCCCACAGCCCTGCCACGCACAGGTGCCAAACAGGCACCCTGGTTATGTCCTTCATAACCAGGTGAGACCTGGCAGCTGTTTGCCTCTTGCCCTCCTGCTGTGCCACTAGAGCGGTCTGTAGGCACCGGGCTGGTGGGGGACCCGCGGGGCTGGGCAAGCGCATGCCGCTGGGGTGAAGGTGCAGTCCCCATGGTTTCCTGTTTCCGTAAGGCACTAGAGAGCAGGCGAGCCTTTGATTGTCCAAGCCCCCCAGGTGGGACAGGGGGACTTTCTGGCAGGTGTGGTTTCTTTGTTCCCACCTCCTTCCACAGTGTTGCTTCTCTGGCGTGTCCTCCGCCATCTGCCTCTTGCAGCCCAGTCACTCATGCCCTCTGTTTCCAGGATGTGGCAGAGGGATGGGTGTGTTGGTTACACAGGGGTTCCTGCTGCTGGAACTGACTGAAGACAGGGGTGCTTAACACTGGCACGCTCTCCTCCCCCACGCTGCCTGCCACCAGCCCGACCTGCCCCGGGGAGCTTGCGGGGTTCAGGGGCGGGAGGAGCGCTGCCGGCTGCCCGCCCTCATTAAAGCAGATCAGAGAACTGGGGCTGGCTGGCCCCCGGAGCAGGCTCCTTGTGCTGACGTGCAGGAGGCCCTGAGCCCCTCAGTCGGCTTTCGAAGCGCCCCGGAGTCTGAGCTCCGCTGTAAGAGCCCGACACGGTCCAGGTGCTTCTTTGTCATGGCACCAACCCGACGGGGCAGCTCCGGGGCCGGGTGCGAGTCCAAAGCTCACCTGGCGACATCCGGTACCAGGGAGGTTTGGAGCCACAGAGACCGGTTTGCACCTCGGGAGGACGTGGGTGCTGGAAACGGCTCCTTGTGGGAGGCCCTCACCGGAGTGGCTCTGCCAGACCCTACTGGCCAGCTGTTGTCTAAGCCCAGCCATGCGGCCGGGCTGCTTCCAGCCCAGCTGGCTTAGCGAACTGAGCATGCCCGGGCAGTTGGGCAAACTTCTTGACTGGGTTTGTTGCGGAAGGAGGGAATCCCAGGGAAGGAGGGCGGGGGCGGGGAGGGCTATTACCATGCGGGTCATGTGTGACAGCCCTGATCCCGGTGGGGGAGCTGGCGGAGGGGAGGGGACTGTGCTGTGCACTGACACAGAGCAGATCGGGAGACCCGCGGAGCCTGGCCGCAGCAGCGGGCCTGCCCGTGCGCGTGTGCTGCCCAGGGACCCGCGGAGCAGCCAGCGCCCTGCGCTGCCCTGGGAGCTCTGGGCCGGGGTCTCTGCACCTCACGGAGGAGGTAGGGCCCGGACAGTGGAAATGGGGAGGGGGCTGTGGAGGTTTTCGGGAGCTGGGAGACAAAGAGCTCCGGGAAGAAGAAAGATGGTGAATCTTCCCTCCACTCTGCCAGCCCGCCCCTTTGTCTCTGCCTCCGAGCAGGCAGGGGTCCTGGGCCATCCCTATGGGGAGTGAGGGGCTGCCCTGCCCCGAGGGGTCTATAGGGCAGCCCCTGAAAAGCTCTGGGAGTGGAATCTCCCGCAGCTGGGAGGAGGCTGGGGGGGATGAAGCTGTGGTGCAGAGGGGGTTGCACTACGGGTTACATGCTGTGCCCTTGTGTGCGTGCCCGCTGTGGGCTGCATGGTGCACAGGTGGCTGGTCGCACGGCTGAGGATGCTTCCCCGCCAGCCCTGGAGCTGCAGAGCCGCCTGGCTGGGGTGCTGCTGTCCTCACCCCCGTGGGGCTTGCCAGCCTGTGTCCCCAGCGTCCTCTCGGGGCTGTCAGGGCTCTGAATCCCCTGGCGGGTGTCCGCATGCAGGGAGCGAGTCTGCCCACTCCTGGGCCGTGTGGTTCTCAGCCTCTCCCAGGGCCTGCCACACCAGCCTCTCTCCCTTTGGAGAACCTCTTTTGAGAGGGCTCCACAGCCTGGTCCTCATTGCCCTGAACACCCCTCCATCCTGAAGCTCCACCGTGGAGGAGGGCAGAGCCCGTCCTGCCTGATGTCTTTGCAGTGGGAGCAGGGGGATGGAGCATCCTGCGCTCTCCCCACAGCCTCCCGGCACCCTGGCCCGCCCTGCCCTGGAGACTGCCCTGAGCTGGGGGCTCGGCGTGTTTAGAGCAGGGGCAGAGGCCGAGACCCGGGGCTGGAATTCGGGCTGCTGCAGGTCTGTGGCCTCGCCTGGTCCTTCCTGCCGACTGGGACTGAACCCGGAGCTCAGCAGCCTTTTGGGCGGCCCCTCTCGCAGGAGGGCTTGGCAGAGCGGGGGAAGGGGGGAAGCGGCAGCTGGGTCTGGAGAGGGGCCCAGCAGAGCTTGGCAGTCTGTGTGGGGGGAGAGAGACCAGCAGGGTTACCTGGGGGTGGGTTGGGATCGTGGGGTTTTTAATTATTTCTGCTTCTTAGCCACGGGGGTGAGTACGGGGGTGGCTCCGGTTGGCATCTTGCGGGAGAGGGTTGGGCAGGACAGCTGTGAGACTGGGGGCTGCTTGAGATGGTCCCTGAAACCTGCCTGGGGGGTTAAGAACATAAGAACGGCCCTACTGGGTCAGACCCACGGTCCATCCAGCCCAGTATTCGCCCTTCAGCGAGCACCTTCGGGCAGCGGAGAAGGCCGAGCAAGGCTGCTGTGCCCTGGGCAAGGGAGGACCCAAGGGAGCCCTGCGAGGGTTGGTGGTGTGCCGGGGAGGCAGGAAGAATGCACCACACTTCTCAGTGCAAGAGGCAGCGTGTCTGGACTCAGTCCCTTTGGGTAGCAGTTCCCCATGCTGGCGAGCAGGGCTCTGGCTGGCTGGTGAATGCCGTGTTGCTGGCTAGTGCAGGTAACATCATTCTTGATTCGATAAAGGATGAGGCCCCGTCTCTGTGTGCACGACCAGGGAGCCCCTGCAGGCGCCTCGTTGGGGCAGTGGTCTCTGGCTGGCTACAGCAGCAGCGATGGACTAGCCGAGGAGGGCTGACTGACTGTACCGGGCATGGTCCAGGACAGCGAGTGGACTGCTGAGGGCGGCTTTCGGCTCCTTGACAGGCTGTGTTGGGTCTGGTTGTGAATTGGGAGCACGTGTTGGAGGAGAGGCCACTGTCCTGTGGTGTGGACCACCTGTGGGCTCTTGGTTTTGAGGTGGGACCCACCACTCCCTACAAAGCCCAGGGCCCCATGTGATGGCCCATCTTCTCCAGCAGGCCCCTCTACTGGCGGTTTGGGATTTCCTCATCTTTCCTTGCTCCGGTGGCCCCTAACCCCCCTTCCAGTCGCCATGGTTTACGGAGGGGAGGCCGCTAGCACGCTGGTGGCAGCAATCTTGTGTGGAGTCCGATGGAGCCCGGTGCCTGTACAGGAAGCAAAGGCTTCTTCACCTCTGTCATAGCATCAGGCTGTCCTGAGCGGGGGGCAGCGGGTGGACTCCTTGCTGGGCCCGCCGGGTTCCCCGGTCACGTTTTCTCACCGGGAAGAATTTTCAGGCCGCTTTGCAAAGAACGTTGTTTGGACTGAGCTGTCTGCTGCCATGGAAACGGCGCTGAGTGTGCGGGGCCGAAAGGCACGTCATCTCCCGCGCTGGGGTCGCTCACTGAGGGGGTGACAGTGCCAGCGTTGCAAGTCGGGAGCTGGAGCCGTGTCCTTCCCGCTGGGGACGGCTTGTGGCGACGTCTGGGGTCTACAGCAGGTCCAGGCTAGTGACATGGGCCAGCAACTGCTAGGGAACCTATGGGGAAGCCCACGCTCAGGAAACCAGCTCTTGACACTGATGGTCTGGCTGCCTGTTGTCCGATGACATCGCCCCTACGTTTAGGCCAGGTGATCAAGCAGGTGTGTGCGCTGGGGTACCTCTGGTGGCTTCCTGGCATCTCAGACATGCTAGCCTCAGTGGGGGAGGCGCCGCGCCACTTGAATTCACTGATGATCTCCTAGCGACGGAAGAAGACAGGTTGTGCCAGTTCTCTCAGACGCGTCAGCCTCTGCTGTGGTTGAGAAGGAGATTTTGGTTGATGTACTTGGAGAACCGGGGGTGGGGGAAGAGGCTCCATCATGACCTCTCAGAATAGCGGTGGGAAGGCCTCCCTCTGCCCCAGGGGTTCTCCCCAGAAGATCCCGGTGATGCCGGGAGAGTTAACGAACAGGCCTCGGATTGCCGACAGCTCGGCATCTCGCTCTGAGCAGAGCACGAATGAAACCCCCAAGGGCTAGCTGAGCTCGGGGCTTAGCGCCTCTCGAAGTCCAGGAATTGTTCGGAGTTAAACGAGCTGAGTTTAACAAACTGAGTTAGCCAAGCCTGCAGCTGTAACGCAAACTGGGCATAGCCTAACCCGAGGGTCCGCACACAGCGACGTGCCCATTGAACGTAGCCCTTGCAGTTAAACCTGGGCAGCGCCTCTGTAGGCCAGGCCTCCCGTGAGAGCTTTTCGGCTGTGACGCAGTCCAGGGACGGGGAGGTCGGCGTGAATGGGGGACTTTGTCTGCCAAACGGGAGCCTGAGTTCTGTGCCGTGTTAGATCCTAGGCCGCTGCTGGAGGTGCAGCTGGTATTGTCCTCTGTGCGCGGATGGGTGAGTGCGCCCTCTTGTCCCTGCAGGAGGGACCTCGCCACAGGTATCCTCGCCCCTGGCACCCCGGGGGTAGGGCGGAACCCTGCAGCCTGCTCCTCTGTTTCACGAAGCCAGTGCTCTGGGATGTGGGCTGGCTTCCAGGTGGAATTCAAAGCACTGGGTTTAACTCGGGTGGGCCCTGGACATCAGGCCTTGCCCTGCTGCCGCCGCTGATCAGCAGTGGGACTCGAGGCCCCTCCAGTACACACCAGGGAGCTACCACCAGGAAGTTGTCCAAGGCGTGTCCTCAGGTTTGGAGTCCGCTCCTACGACCCGCCTGAGCAAGGGCCTGGCTCTGTTTTGGGGGGCCCGGGCTGAGTCTGGAGGCGTCAGGGCTCCCTCTGTCTGGCCAGCAACGTGTGTTGTGCAGTTTGATTTGTGGGCATGCAGAAGGCAGGCTGGGCGTTGAGAGCTTAATTCTCTGGCAGGCGCGTGTTCCCAGCACAAAGGGCCACCCGGGCTGGTGGGTTCCGTGGCCCGGGTTGGCACTGAGTGGCCCTGGGTTGAGGTCCATCGGGCAGCTCTAGGCCTCATCACAGCTGTTAATTTGGCAGGTTTTGTGGCGCTCCCAATACTCCAGGCCAACTTCGTAGAAGTTTGGTGACTCCTGTGCCCACGTTTCCCATCCCACATGCCAGCCCCTGAAACCCAGCAAGGAGCTTTTCATGCAGCACTGGTGTCTGAGCCTGGGCCAAGCCGTGTAACAGTCCGGAGCCAGCCTGATCGCACAAAATCTCTGCTGACTCCTTACCGAGCGCCTGGGCTGGGCTTATGTAACCCCCACTTCTAGTGCGGTTCACTGTCCAGCAGTGGCACCTAGACCACAGCAACAGACAGAGCAAGAGACGTCTACCATGAGCTGGGAGCCAGCTGGCCTTTAGCTCAGAGGGTAGAGGCGCCTGTACTCAGCTCCAGCGGGCCCAGGGTCAAAGCTGCCCTGTGGCGGGTACACTTGCAATCTCCTGGGTGCTCCCCAAGCCTCTAGGCCAGTGGTCCCCAACGCGGTGCCCACAGGCGCCATGGAGCCCGCTGGGGCATTTATGTGCACCCGCCGAGCGATCTGGGCTGACCCTGCCCCGGGTGTGTGGCACATGTGGCAGCCCCAAAAGGTTGGGGACCAATGCTCTAGGCAAGGCCAGTGTTGATGAGCTCCCAGCCATTTCTGTGCAGTGTCTAAGAGGTTGCCAGGGCAGCTGGGAAGAGGCACTTCCCAGTCCACATCCCTGCTGCCTTTCTCCCTGTGCGCAGGACCCATGGTTGGGGAGGGGAGCCAGATCCCTGCTGCAGCTGGAGGACAATGCAAAGGCTCAGGAGTAACCTGCAATTGTTGATGTGCTGTCCTGTCTGGTCCGATGGGGCCTGCTGAGAGAGAGATCAGTGAGTCTGCGGCAGACTTTAAGAGCCACATGCTCATGCCTTTAGCTCCAGGAGGCCCTGGTTTGATCCCCACTGCTCACGATTGGGGGCATCAGCATGGACTGCTCGGTCTCTCCCCCTCAGCTGCAGCACACAGCACATGTGGGCGGAGAGCTGCGTTCCCTTTGCCGTGTGCTCTGTGCCGATGCCACGGCTGCTGCTGCCTACTCTCCGCGCAGCGCTGGCCCAGTCGCTAGAGCTAGAAGGGGGGAAACGCACAAGCTGCAGCAAAGGGCCAAGGAGATAGGCCAAACCAGGAGGCACGGGGAGAGGGCAGGAGAGCTCCCAGCTGTGGGGTCTTATGCCCGCGCCCCAGCACTTAGCCTTCAGACCCCCTGTGGCTCTGGGCGTGTCAGTCCCCTGGGCTGTGCAGCAAGGCGGTAGCCCTGCCAGGGCGATCGGGTCATTGGCCAAGCAGAGACTGGCCTAGCAGGCGCTTGCTGGGGCTTGGGCCGAAGCTGCTGAGTTTCTGCTCCTGCTCCTGCATCACGCCCATCCCCGCTTCAGACGTCGAGCTCCGGCATCTCTGTGGCGCCTCGTGCGTGTGAGCTCGCCTGGCTAATGCACGGAGGAGGCTGCAGGATCCCTCTCCACAAGGGTTGGGCAGGATCTGGTTCCTGCTGCCTTCGGCCTCTCTGCCCACCAGTGTTTGCAGAGGCCGATGGTGACTTGCTGCGGCCTGGGTGTCAGTTACAGCTCGGGGAGTGGGGCCTGTCTCTTGGGCTGTACGAAGGGGGAGGGGATGGAGGGGCCAGTGCATAGGGCTCTAGCCTCCTGCCCTGCCACAGGCTCCCTGCGGGACCCCAGGCAAGCCCCTTGGCCGCTCAGTGACTCTGTTTCCCCATCTGTGCATTGGGGTAACAGCAGCGCCCTGCTCGCCGGGTAGCAGATTAAACAGGCTCTGGGCGGGGGCAGATTAATGCCTATGGGGTCAGACAAGGCACCTAGCACAAGGCAGTCACATTGCAGGCCTCTCGGTACTACTGTAATACCAGTTATATAAGCTCCCCCCCGAATCCAAAGGTGATGCCCTGTAAAGGGTAGTTTGCTTTGACAGGCATATTCCCATGTGCCATTGACGGGAACCCTTAGCTGGCGCTGCCCGCAACCCTCTCAGCCCTTCTGCAGGCCACAGAGCCGTGGGGCGGGGACAAGGGCAGGGATGTCCCGGTCTGGCATGGGGACAGACGCTTGTGTGGGCCTCTCCACGCGCCGTAAGGGGGCTGGACTCCTCGGTCTGTGAAGGCGGCCGTGGCCGTGGGCCTGGGCAGGGCCTGTTCTCTCAGGCTTGTGCTTGTACAGCGCCTGGCGCAGCGGGGCTCCACTCTGGGTGGGCGGCCCCGGCGCGCTCCCAAAAGGCAGCTAACAAACGAGGTGGGTGGCGCTTGCTCTCTAGTGACCGAAGGGCCCAGGCGGCCACCAGCCTGCGAACCCTCGCAGCAGCCGACGCCTTCCCCTGCGGACACCCCATGGTCGCCGAGCTACCGAGTGGCTTCCTGTGGCTTTTGCCTAACTCCCATGAGAGGCCTGTCAGGAGCGCCAGGCCAAGTCCCCGCGTGGCCCGCGTGTGGAGCTACGGGCCGCCCGAGCCTGTGGGCTGCGCCTTGTGGTGGGACCGTTAGGCCGAGGCAGAACACGGCCCGAGGGAGGCACCGGGAGGATGAGCGAGGTTCCCCCATCTCCCTCAGGAGCCACGCCCTGTGCTTGCGGCAGGGCGTCTTTTGGGCCCCTTCGTGGGGGCGCTGACAGATCCTTGTCATTTGACCCCGTTCTCCTCTCCCCCCCAGCCTCCTCCGCCTCCCCCTCCCCCGCCCGCATTTACCTGCCACCCCCCTGCCTTTGGCTCCCGCTCTGTACACACTTGCTGGTCTCCGAGCAGCCAGGCCCTGCAGGCAGCCTGAGCCGAGCCCAGGGAGTTTCACTTCCCCAGCGATTTTTGCAAAATCGGACTCCTGAGCTGCAAGCTGCAGCAAGGCCTCGGCCGAGCAGCCTCTGCATGGAACAAGGAGGGTCCTGCCAGGCCCCCTGGCCATTTCTGTGCCTCTGGCTAGGGCTGCTCAGGTGACTTCGAGCAGGCAGGAGGCAGCCCGGGTGCCCAGACAGGATCCGCCTGATCCGAACCAGCTGCAGCCAACCGGGACCTCCCCCAGGGTGGGGCTCTCATAGAAGCCTTCTGTAGCTTCAGATTCCTCTGGGGCGCCCCCCCCCCCCCCGAGGGGGCAGCTCAGCCCCCTGCTCGGCCATCCTCCCCTTCGCTCTTGGAAGCACGGCAGATGAAGGCCGGTTACGCTCCCGGAGGACAGACTGGGAAACTGGCTGGGAAGCTGCAGAGGGGACCAGCAATGTTACGAGCCCCTCTAGGGCCCATGGAATTCCCTTCTCCACCGGCACTAGGCCAGGCCAGGAGAATTTCACCCCCAGGCACAGCCTGGCAGTCTGATGGCTTCTTTAGGGAGCCGCTAGACTCAGCATGCTCTAGAACAACAGTTCTCAGCCTTCCCAGACTCTTAGCGCCCATGCCCCACCTCCCAGGGCCGGCGGGGCCCCTCAGGGTGCAGGGCCCCACCTCCCGCTACTGCCCACCCTGCACTTGCAACCCCCCACACCCTTCCATGGCCCCCAGGTTGAGAAACATGGATCTAGATGAGTTAACGTGCCCCCGGCAGACCTCTGAGTAGCTCAGGGCAATGCGTCCCCTGCTGCAGAATCACTGCCCCAGGACCCTGGTTAATGACTTTCTTTGGGCTGCGGGGCTTGGCGCTAACGATTTTCAGCTGATCCCTAACTCCCGCAGGTTTGTGTGGGTTTGGGTTTGTCGCTGGCCGAAGCTGCCGCGTCCCTCACTCAGGAATCTCCTTCCCCTTGCAGGGCGGAGCCAGGAGCCCGGGTGGATCAGCATGGAGGGGCAGCCGGGACAGCCGGCGCCCGAGGAGACGCCCCGCGGCGCTAACCCAGCCAGTGGGGGGCTGGAGCTCTTTGGCTACGTGGGCATCGAGGCCGTGCTGGATCAGATGAGGATCAAGACCATGAAAACAGGCTTCGAATTCAACCTCATGGTTGTAGGTGAGCGCAGGGTTAACCCGGGGCAGCGTGCTCTCCCCGGGCTTTGCAGAGGGGGGCGGCTGGGGGGACCCCCTCGGCTGGAGGCCCCGCGGGTGCTGTCACCAGTGCCTGGCCAGGATCTCACACTGTAGGGGCGCCTGAGACCCCACCACGGCTCTGTTCTCACTGGATCACATCAGTCCCTGAGGCAGGGCC